CAAACTGAAATTTCTGTCTTCCGACTGCCTCTGTCTACCATTCTGTCTCCTCGCCGTCTCAGTCAGTCTTGAATAAGTTGATTCTACATAGCATGCCCTCTTCCTCATCTCTCATTCAAGTTTCTAGCGATGGAGAGCAGGCTTCTGTTGTCCCTGCGTCTGTATCGAAACTACCCTTGCCGGGTCAATCATGGCCTCTTCGTTGCTGAAACCAAGAGACACTGCTTTCCCTTATCTCACCCGACCTCCAGGCAATCATGGGTATTGTCCTTCACACCCCTCTTTTTGAAACACTCTTCCCCCAGGCTCTTCTAATTTCCTGCCACCTTTGCAGGCTCTTCCTCCTTTGCCCAGTCCTTAAATGTTGGTGTCCCTCAGGGTTCTAGACTAGATTGTCTGCTTGTCTCACTCTGCTTCTCCCCAAGGATGGACTGAACCTGCCTTGGCACCCATCCACGGCCTCTCTAGGTGTTGACTCCTAATTTCCTACCTGTAGCTCAGCTGTCTCTCCTGACCTTTAGTCCGTATTCCCAGCCACTTGCGGGACATGATACCAGAATCTTTCTCACCCCAACCAGTTGTGTCCCCTACATGTGGTAGCCCTGGCCACTGGTTGTCCAAACCAGAAACTCAGGAGGAATTCTTGACTCTCTTTCTTTTTTATTCTCTATAACTAATCAGTCCTCAAGTCCTGTAATTCTGTCTGCTAAATGTCTCTCAAATTCATCTTTCTCCATATTCCCCACATCGTCACTAAGTGGATTTTGCTCTTTCAGTCTTGCCATCCTTTATAATGGAACAAGCGTGATCCTTCCCTTCCATGGCTCCTGTCACACACGGGATAAAGTTCTAACTCCTGCACTTGACTGATAAGGCTATACATGATTTGGTCAGTCCTTACCTTCTGCCTCTCACTGTACTCACTAGTCATCCTGAACGCTCCTGAGGGCACCCACCTCTTAGATTTCACACGTATTAGTTCTTTCTTCTCTCTAGCTCATTATCTCAGACCCACCCTTAGCACCTGACTCAAGACACTTCTATTCAAGCCTTTGCTGGGGCCCAAGTGTAGATAAACTGTCCTGCCTACAAAACCCAAGAACACGCAGCACTTATTCCTGTTAGAATATTTATCTTACTCTAGTGGGGGATAGAGACAAGTAAAGAGAGTGTGGGTTCTACCAGAAAAGAGAACAAAGAAAGGGTCTTTTCTTGCTCTTCACTGCTTGGACACCTGGCATAGTGTACACACTAAGATGCTCGTTATATACCTGTTGAATGAATCAATGAACTAACAAAGAACTCAGCAAGTATTAGAGTCTGCATTCTTCTCTTATTTCCACGTAGCCATTTTCAGGCTTATGTGCTCCTGCAATCTTTAATGAGTATTTAAGGCGTTCCCGTTGTGTCTGTCATTTCACTTAAACCTCACAACTTCTTCTGAAGTTGGAATTAGCCTCATTCCATATTTCATGCTCAGGTAAGAAGTGAGTTAGAACACTTGGGTTAGGGTTTTAGCCCTAAGTCCAGGGCCCTTTGTATGTTGATTTGGGCATCAAACATTAGTCTGCTTTGATTTCACCCAACTCTGTCTTCCATCCATTACTGTCCTGGTGACTATTTCCATTGGCTAGAGTTCCTTTTCAAATTCAAAGAGACCTGAGCGTATGGAAGAGACATGAGCATTGTGCACATTTGGAGAAAGCTCACCCAGAAATGCTATTCCCAAAACTTGGTTCAGTGACTGCTCAGGAGAGTGGGGTTTGGTGTCAAAGAAAGCCAAGAGTTGAGGAAGGGGGAGTTTGTGAACTTGTATCACTCATTTGAGTGGAAATGGCTTTATTAAGCTGGAAAAGTAATTAACCCTTGAGAATAGCATTTTATGCTTTTGTCCCCCTGATGGGATATGAGTGATGCTTATCTCCAAAAGGGGAAGGAGAGAGCACATAATGAGTATGAGCTGTGGATCAGGAACTGGCGTTATCTTCCCCACATTTTGTAAAGTAGGTGTTTTGACTGGATGAGAAAAATTCTGGTTGAGGAAGTCACCCAGGTCACACCGTTCATATGTGGCTGAGCTAGATTCAAAATCAGGACTGTCTGGCTCCTGGGTGCTTTGCATCACATGGCAGACAGTGGATTGTTATTATCTTTTTTTAGTTTAGTTTTATTTATTTATTTATTTTTACACAGCAGGTTCTTATTGTTATCTGTTTTATACATATTAGTGTATATATGTCAATCCCAGTCAATGGAGAGAAAGTTCTAAATGTGGTTCAAAAATAAATTATCTATTTTATACATATTAGTGTATACATGTCAATCCCAATCTCCCAGTTCATCCCACCACCGCCACCTGGCCCCTGCTTTCCCCCCTTGGTGTCCATATGTTAGTTCTCTACATCCGTGTCTCTATTTCTGCCTTGCAAACCAGTTCATCTGTACGGGGATTCTGGAGTCACATTGCCTGTGTCCAAATATGGTTCTGTGACTCTACTAGGGTGTGTGACTTTGGGAAGCCACTTAATCTCTTTGGGCCTCAGTGTTTCCATCTCTTAAATGTGGATAATAGTCCTTCTTATAGAGTTGGGGTGAGGATTAAATACGGTAATATCTATAAGGTATATTCCAATACAAATAAAAGTTAGCTACCATCATCATCACCACCACCATTACCTTTGGTCCCTCTACTTGCCAATAAGGCAGATTCTTCTGGGCCATGAGATAAGTGAGTATTCAGAGCATTCCTCTCCAAGACTTTAGTGCTCTTTGGAATTTAACAATTGATCAGGGGTGTTGGATGCATGGCTCAGAGCACAGGCCAGGAGGGATGGAAAGTATAGTTGAAAAGCAACAAAGTAGACTACAATAGCATGATGAACAAATAACTCAGCTGTTTAGTCGGGTGTGCTGCCATAGGAATTGGCCTATAAATAGGGTTAATGTTTTCAGGGTAGAGAGTAGTTTAAGCAGGGATGTTTGGATGTTCTACCTAGGTGCTGCCAAAAATATATATGAATTGACTTGATAAGATTAATAGTGATATTAAAAGTATACATCATGTAAAATTAATGTTTTGTGAGTTCTTATTAAATGTCTGGAACTGTGCTAAGCATTTTGTTCACAGTAACCCTTATGTAGGGAACACTTTTATTATTTCCATTTTATAAATGAGACAACCAGGGCTCACAAATGTTAAGTGTGATCAAGGTTGTCCAACAGGTAAGGGGAAAAGCTGGCATTTGATCCAGGTCAGCCTGCCTCCAGAGTCCATGCGAGTCCATGCTTTTTCTTAATACATATTCCTTCTCATCTCCTTATACTGGGGATTCTTAGTGATCTTGATTTCAAGAGCCTGATTCTGTGGATGACCTCAAGACCCAGTCTTCATTCATGTTAAGACTATCACGCTGAGGCAGATTCTCTAAAGCAGAAGGGAGGGGAAGAGCCTTCTCAGATGGAGAGATGCCCCTGAGAGTAGAAGCCGGGCTTTGATCTTTATTTTTTCATGGGCAGCATCTTCCTGCTTGAAACCAGAAGGCCAGCTGGCTCCCAAGTTCTTTCCTTGCAAGAGAACCAGGCCAGACTCCTCCTAGTACAACTTCATAATTACTATTCTCTAATGAGAAATAGATTTGATCATAGCAACTAGAATTTATTTTAGGCCTTGGTTCCAAGAACCTATTAAGGTTTCCACTTTGCCTTAAACCAATTCTAGTATCTTCCTTTATTTATTTATTTATTTTATGTTTTTGTGGTACACAGGCCTCTCACTGTTGTGGCCTCTCCCGTTGCGGAGCACAGGTGCCGGATGCACAGGCTCAGTGGCCATGGCTCACGGGCCCAGCTGCTCCGCGGCATGTGGGATCTTCACGGACCGGGGCACGAACCCGTGTCCCCTGCATTGGAAGGTGGACTCTCAACCACTGCGCCACCAGGGAAGCCCTATTTATTTATTTTTAATTGAAGACTAGAGTGCCCTGAACTAAGATGTCTCAGCAGCATTTTTACCTAAACTCCTTCTTTTTCTTTCTTTTCTTTGTGGTTTTCCAGCATCCTTCTTTTTAGAGCTTTGAGTATCTCGTAAGCCTGGTCAAAAGGACTCTTCACACTGATTTAAACTTATGGGTGAGAGACTACAACTTACTCTTAAGGACTTAATTAGTTTTTCCTGGTGCTGACGTTCTAAGAGGGGATGGTATCAACCATCCTATTTTTTTCAAGTCAGAACCTGAGAAACAAGATTTGAGGAAGGATTTTTCTCAACCCTTCTTGGTTCAAGAGGCCCTCTGGAAGATTTTATTATTTTTTTTAATTAACAGAGAGCGCAAGAGAAAGCATTTTGGTTTTTTTCAGGACACATAGGCACTACACATATAGGTCAGGGAGGAAACTGTGACTGGGTTTCTTACCCAAGAGCTGTGTATGTGTGTGCTAGGGACGGACTGGGGCCCAGGGGGAAGGCAGTGTTGTTTTGATCCTTACAAAAAAGATGAATTTTCTACTATGGGGGAATTCACAGGTGGTTGCACTTTCCTGTAGAATTATTAAATAAAATAAGTGGAGGTAAAATCTGGAATCTTCGAAGAACAGTTTAAATCAAGAGGACTTGCTGGACACAGCTAGGAATGGCTGCAGTCTGGGAGCTAATTCTGAGATCTGGACACGTTATTCCCCTCTAATTCTTCCTCCCCTCCTCCTCCTTTCTCTTTTCCTGTTGTTTATTGGGCGATTACCATTCATTAGACATTTTGCTAAGCAATTTACATACATTGTCTCATTTAATTTTCATACGAGCTTATGAGAGAAGTATGATTGCTATCTCCAGTTGACAGACAAGGAAATCAAGGCTCCTAAAAGGTAAGTCACTTGCCCCAGACCAGGCAGAGGGAAAGGTAGAGTCAGAACTCAACCCCAGGTCTCTCCATTCTAGACCTTGACCTCTCACCCATCACATCGTACTGCTTCCTCACTAAACGTGTCCTGTTCTTTGTCCCCAGGGACAGAATGAGAACATCCGTCAATGTTGTGGGAGACTCTTTTGGGGCTGGGATTGTCTATCACCTCTCCAAGTCTGAGCTGGACACCATTGACTCCCAGCACCGAGTGCATGAAGATATTGAAATGACCAAGACTCAGTCCATTTATGATGACATGAAGAACCACAGGGAAAACAACTCCAACCAATGTGTCTATGCTGCACACAACTCTGTCATAGTAGATGAGTGCAAGGTACCTTTCCCATTCATGGATATCGAGACCTGTATATAATAGTGCATGCTCAATTTCTTAAAGCAAACACAAAAGCCCTGCATGTATTATTGCCACATTTATTTTTCTAAAGAATCATGTAACTCAAGCGTCTATGAGTCCCAGATCATCTAACTCTGTGTCTGTCTAACGTGGCAGGAAATCAACAAGTCTAACGGTGAAAGAGCCAATCGGTTGCTTGTTTTATCCATGTGATGTAAAACAATCATTTTGACTCCCCCGTCCACCCACTTCACAAATTCAATCGTTTTCTTTGAATATTATGCTCAAGAATTTGTGGTTTCTAGGGCCTTGCTGGCTTTCAAATATTCTGTTCAAGTGAAACATCAAGAGAGATGCCCAGCATCATTTGATTTACATAGCACAAGTATTCCTTCTTGCTGTATATCATGTATTGGTCAAAAGTGTGCCCACATAACTTTGTGCAGCTATCTTTCTCTTCATTATTTTTGTGGGAAGGTGAGTTTTGACCTGGCAATCACTTTGCTCCAAGAATGGGGAAGCAATTTCAAGTAAAGAATAACTCTCCTTCAGGACAGTTATCCATAGATGTCTTTAAAAAAACACTATATGTCACATACTGCCTGGCAGCACCATTTTTCCTGAAGCATGGATGTTCTGGACTCTTTTCCAAGCTGTTGGATGCTAAGTCTTCAAGCCTGACCGGCTCTGTCTAGCCTTCATTGTAACTAACTTGACATTGTCAAAGTGTCATGACCAGAGTGAAGCAAACTTGGAGAAACCCTGGCAGGTGAGCAGTGTCAACTCTGAGGGTTGTAAGTGGCAACTGAGGACAATCTGAACCGAACACAGATTTCTGATACCTTTCTGACTCCTGTTGACGGATCTCATTTAATAGTTAATTTCTCCCTATGTTATTTCTGGGTCACTCCAAATATATGCCATGGCTTCTGCCAGACAACTAAGGATGACACAGAAGCAATCCCCTCTACTGGATGGTCCAGCCACCATCTTTGGTTCATCCCCTCTGTATAAGCTACATGTGTGGGTAAACCAGGGCTCTGATGCAAATTAGGGAGGGACCCCGCCCATCAAGAGGCAATTGTATAAATTAATTGACTCAGTGAAAACAATGAAAATTGTTAGAAATTCAGATGCACCTAAATGGTATACTCCATTCTCCTGGAAAGTTAGTGTTTTCCACATCTCAATGATTGTGCTGGATTATTCCCCATCAGAATATTAGTTTTGGTAAACAAGGGTCAACATTCCATGGAATAGCTTTATGCTCTATTATATTTAACAAATATTCATCGTGTGCCTTGTGGGGTTTAATTGAGCACCCCCATCTTATTCCTATGACCTCCTATATTTTGATTATTAGTCAAGTTTTATTGAGTGCCCATAATCTGCAAAGCCCTGAGTTAGGCACTAGGGGACAGCAAAATGAATGTACAGTTGTATAGTGGAGATACAGCTTGATCGCAATTACTGCCCTATGAGGAAGAATAGTAGTAGGAAACAAAATAAAATCACCACATATATTCTTTAACTTTGCAGTTATATATACGAAGAGTCCTAGTGGTTAACTGCCTTTGGTGCGGCCCTTTTGGAGCATCTCAGGAGAGGCTTCTTAACAATATTGTGTAGGGCAAGTTTTGAGGAAAGTGTACAGGCATGGAGATGTCTTTAGATTTCAGACTTCCTGCACTTTTTTTTCCCTTAAAGCATATCAAGCACATCAGGACAAATGTGCTTCATTTATTTTAGCAAACAGTTCAGTCCCTAAAAGGAAATGTTGGTCAACTGTCTCTATCACTGTGAAGTAAGCCCATGAGGAGAGAGACTGTGTCCCTGTTTATCACTGCTGTGCCCTAAAGCAGTGCCAGGCATGCAGTAGGCTGTTCAGAAATATGTATTGAGTGTATACTTTTAGCATCTCGATCCCATGCTTTAATTCAGATAACCTTTTTTGCTGGACAGTTTGATAGAGATAGTGGCTCAGTCTTTCTAGGTAGTCGACCACCAAACCAACCACCTGCAAACTCGTTGGTGAATTAGTGTTTAGATGGTCAAATGGTGAAACCGAGCAGATCATGGAAATGATGAAACGGCCATATTGGTTTAATAACTCTTTGGCGGTTTGCATTTTTTAGTGAAGTGATGGGTTCAGCTCAGTGAAGATTGTGAGGCGAGGCCAGTCGACCCTTCTCGCTCTGGACCAGTTAACTGAGTTGACACCTATATGCAAAGGAGGCAGTCAGAGCTGTGGAGATGAATTTGAAGGCTTTCCCAGAATATCTGAGTCACATCTACTCCTGCCTTTGAACCTCCTTCTGGTCCATTCTCAGTCTCACTGTTTTAAAAGCTGAGTTGGGAGACATCACTGCTTGCTGCCAGTTCTCGCCTTTTGGCTCTTCCATTACCCAGGTGTTGGGACGGAGCTGGGTGGAATAGACCGGGGGAGCGGAGTCCCTGCTTCCTTTAATCCAGCCAGAAAAAGGAAAAATGCCAAAAAAGCTGCAGTCCCAGCTACTTCAGAGACACAGGTCTCAGTATTTGAAAACAACAGCCTCCCTGCCCCTGCCACCTGAGCTCTGTCTGGTTTTCCAAAGGCACCATGATTTATAGTGTTGCACAGATATTGATCTGGTTCATCACTGAAAGCCAAATAGGTACACTCAAGGTCATGGTGAACAGGCAGCTCGCTCCAGGCAGATAGTTTGTCCCTGGCCGTCTTTCCTGACAGTTCACTGAAGGGGAAATAAGTTTGCTGCTTCTCTGGTCACAACTTTAACCGTTCTAAGCATTGTTCTGTCATGTTGGTCTCTCTATTTTCAAACTCTTGCCTTGTAACCGTAGTTTGAAGGTATGCAATGTTTTTAATTTTAATCAGAAGAACTGCATGTGATGCTTTCATTTGCTTGTTGCATGGTCTTTTTTTAAAAAAAAAAACAAAAACAAAAACAATGCGGTGGCCTCATGGGGACCGGAGGGATGAGTAGTTTTTATTTTCATTTGCTTGGTTCGTGAAAGGTTTTCTGTTCCTAGCATGTTGTGTGTGTAGTGCATGCTCCTCACTTCCACTTGGGTAAGAAGAAGACCAGATTTCTTTCAAACATTGCTGCGTTTGTCATGTCTCCATATCCTAATGCTTCCATAAATCCAGTCTCTCCATTATGTGGAATATCAGTCGTGGGTTTAAGTTTGCACATGACGTTGAGGACAGACAGATGGAAGGTAAGCTAGGAAAACGACTTAGATGTGGAGGGGAAAACTTCCCACTCTGTGTAAGGGTTCAGTTCACTGAGAGCCAGGGAAGCATAATACTGACAGTCTGGAGATTATAGTTGATTAATAAATGTCTGCAATGAAATAATTTAGAGATACTGATTTCAGCCTTTTAATTCCCTCCTTTCCTTTTTAATTTTTAAAGCCTGGATAGCTTATATGGTAGAGCCAGACCATCATGATTTGAAAATTGGACATGTATAAACTCCACCTGGCCTCATTGCAACTGAACCTTTCACGTGCATGAGTAGAGCTAGCTGCCTAGTTCTGGATTTTTTTTTTCTCTGCGGTTGTTTGGAGTAGCACAAGGGCACTATGTTTTCAGGACTGCATTGTTGTGTGTGGCGTCTATGGGTAATTAGACACCCTCATAACCCTAAAAGCATAGTAGAAGTTATTTATCCCCCAACTTGCAAAGTATCTCTAGTCGCTCAATACCCCCCAAGGCAAATATGTATTTTTTTTTTTAATGTTCGCAAATCAGTGTTGAAAACTAAGACCAGTTCAAAATCAATTTGGAAGAAACAATGTTTAAAATTAATACTTAAGTCGTGTAGTAGAACCTGGGTCTGGTGGTCCTCCACATAACCCCCCAGGTGGTTTTCTGGTTCGTGGCCCGTAAGCTGGATATTGATGATAATTATTTTCAGGTAACTCTGGCAGCCAGCGGAAAGTCAGCCGACTGCAGTGTTAAAGAAGAACCTTGGAAACGTGAAAAATAAGGATACGACTGTCAGCAAATTCTTGAATAAACTCCCCAGCGTATCTTATGGCAAAAGAGGATATAAACAAGCTTTCTTTAAAAAGAAAAAAAATACATATATTTCGATGTTTACCTAATCTGTTAGCTGAGGCTTAGAGGATCTGTTGTGAGTCAGTGATAGGCACGGTGCTGTGTCTTTGCCAAATAGTGCTTGGTAACCATCTAATTTTCTCACTTGTATTATTGTTTGAATGGATGCCGCTGGAGGAATCAGTCTGAATTGAAGACGCGTTCTTGCCAGCTTCCCTTTTCTCTCAAGATGCAGAACCGTGGATGCTCTTTTCCCAGGGGACACGACTAAAGCCGTGCGGCACATTCCAGAGATTTGGATTAATGAGCAGACAGTCAGTGTGTTACTCCTTCCAGTGTTCTCCATGCTTCTTCACCTTGTAACACACAAGAGATTGTGTGTAACACACAAGAGAAGTAAATCCCCTTAAATGTCTTGTAGCGTATGTCCTTGTGTTGATTAAAACAAAGTACCCATCTTAAGGTACAATTTCTCTTCTGTATACGCCTTAAGTTAAATGGCTAAATGTTTCAAAGAGAGTCATAGTGGGAGCCATATCTTAAAGGTAGCCGGTTATGGAACCCACTGAGTCTCCACTCTACCCCATCTAGTTTATGGGAATAATTGTTGAATTTCAAAGTAGGTTTCATAATTTGCTCCAAATTTGATAAGGGATTAGGATGTAATTTACATATAACTTCTGTATATATTGACAAAAGTAAGAGAGCACAGTCAACATACATTTTAACCAGATTCAAAGATTCAAATTTGTTTGTGTTTGGTTTGCATCACCTGGCATAGTGAAATCAAGTGAGATTATTTGATCTATGCTTCAGTGTCTTTGTTTCGTTCATACAATTCTTATTCGGGTCTCTACCAAAAAAAGACATTCTTAATCCCCAACTTATTTCAGTCATATTCTCATCAAACTAGAAGGCTTAATCATTTTACTCTCCTCACAGATGGAGGATAGTTGGGTTGGCTGTGCCTCTTTTAATACTAATCTCATGATAAAAACAAAACTTTCTAATATGTGGAAAGCTTTTTGTTATATTATATCACAGCACCTAAAGCCAGCTACAGGACACAGTTGGAATCAGAGCCCATCTTTTCCCCCAGTCTTCTCTGTGGAAAGGAACAGAAAACAAACATAGGTGCAAAATCCTATAAAGGTGACATTCTTATGGCAAAGTCAAGGTAGCCTTGAACCATGAAGTAGGAACAAAGGATGGCTCTACAGGACTTCACAGATGGAATCTTCTCAAGGCTGTGGAAGTTTGAGGGAATACATAATATAATTGGAATAGCCCAGTCGGTGCCTTGCATGCTGTAGGCACCTCCAAGCTACATTTTTCAATGTCTGTACTATCATTTTCTGTTGAATAACCCACAGTATTTTCCTAAGGTTGCTGGCTTTAGGAGTTTGCTGAGGACTTGAGCATGAATCGTTGAGAAATAAGCACACTTGACGTGTGTAGAACCTTGGTCCAATGTGAGAGTACAGTGTTTATCTGCTGCCAGCAGATGGGTGCTGAGATATTCATGAAGGGTCATAGAGTCCAGATTTTCTTAGGAGAGGGTGTTTATGGACATACATGCCCTTTATTACGCACTCCTTGTGACTTTTCTCTTCCAAATCAGATACCTTTGGACACACGAGAGACATGAGATTCTAATAATTTTGTCTCTTAAGCGCTAGTGTTTTTTTTGGGGGGGGGATAAGAATCAGTGTTGAGCAGTATTAAGTAGTTTTTGCTTTTTTAATTTTTTAAAATACATTTGTCTTCATTTTCATTAGATGGACAGTTAAGATGGTGGCCAAGGGCATGCTGAAATGTAGTAGTGGAAAATGCATCCTTTACAGCAGATGTTGTGGGTCAAAGGGACAGCTCCTGGGTTTAACTGTGAAACTGTTGAGGGTCATCGTTTAGTGGTGCTCCCAAGAGCTTTTTTATGGTGAGAAGGATTTAGGCAAGGCGTCTAGGAGCTTGTGGTTTTGCTGTTTAACGCCAGCTTAGCACTTTTACACGCTGGCATGTGACTCAAAGGAGTGGTCTCAGGATCGTCTTCCGAAGACTCTGCCCAAAAGTCTTCCCTGTTTGCTTGTCTTCAGCTTTTTTTCTAGTTATCGAGTTAACCTACAAATATATAAGGGGACAGCGTGTTCAGAAGAAACTAGGTGCACAGCTTAGCAAAGCAGGTTTTTCAGGTTTGAAACTATGCAATAAGTTTCATGAGAATATACTTAGGAATATAAGTTCATCTGGAAGTTCAACAAATCAGTCAAAATAAGCAATGTCTCAAATTCAGGACTAGCCTGAAAGCCCAGGATGTATGTAGAGCTGACGTGTGATTGTGTCCTCTGTTTTTTTTAGGCCTCATTCATTCTTCTCATGCCACGCCCACTGGGGTTTTCCTTGCCCAGCATATGTGCCATAAACAGATCAAGTAGATCCAGAATATACCTCTAACAACCATTTTCTAAACAGGATATTATAACCTGTCAGTTATATGCATAGATTTATTTTAATAGGTCCAACACAAATATGAATGCTTGTAACAGTCCATGAATGTTTGACCATATGCATAAATGTTATGCTTGTATACAGACATGGCAGACCAGACACATACACTGCATCCCTTAGGTTCTGTTAAGTCAGGGCTTTGGCAACACTGTTTTTTATGAACTCATTCACTATTTTTAGGAATCAGAATTGTCAGGAGAAAACCAACGAGGTAGACTTTTATTCTCTCCTTTCTCATTTATGTCCTTTGGGAAACCCAAGTGGAGTCATCATTTGATTACCTACTATAATTCAACGAATCAAGTCGTATCAGTGAAAAGAATCGCGCTCAAGGCAAAGCTTTACCTTAGATCTTTGAGGATGTGCCTCCCATGCAGAGAGCATCAGACAATCAAGGCAATCATCTAAATCACGCAGATCTTCAATATAAAACTTCAGATGATGAGTTTTGAGCCAGGTAGCTGTCAGGTTTGATTCTTCGCTTCCTATTGTGTGTGGAAACACAACCTAGAGCCTCGTTGCCTGCAGAAGTGGCCATGTTCCATAAAATATAAATATTTACTTCTCTTTAACTACTCATCAGCTTTGGATGTTCAGGAAAGTCTAAAGAAAGGTTGCCAAAATGACTAGCTTTTGGATTTGAACTGGTGGAAGCTGAGAAAGGCTTAGGGTAAATTCAGATTATGGGGAGATGTACTCCTGGTAGGTAAGGTCAGGAATCCCAACGACCGGTTGAATAGAGGGTCTCAGATCATTTCCACTTGTGCACAGAGAAATATGTCATTTGCAAGTGTATATCTAGTCAAGAAGCCCCTTTGGAGTTGGGTAACTCACCTACCGGATCCCCAAAAGGAAACCCAAGCCTGCCATGCTTTTGCAAATACCACACTTCCCTTTGCTCCCAATAGCAAAAGTTATGGTACAGTATTTCACTTTTGTCTGAATCAAGGGTTCTGTCTGTGCTATATTTTCCATGCAAAGAAGGTCAGAGAATTAAGGCAATCATGTAGATAATACAGATCTTCATGATCTGAACCAAGTAGCTATTAGAAATATGGCAGTGAATCCAAATAGGTACCCACATGCTCAGAGAGAATTCTCCATAGTTCAGACTCTTGATAAACAAGCCTCAGCAGCTCTCGCCTGGTGTGATGACTAAATGCTCAGCAGTTACACCCAATGGAGGTGGCTCTTCCCACTTCACTGCTCTTCAGTGCTTGGGGCCATACAGTTGTGTGGGTTGCTGGTTTGGCTTTGCTTATTCTCCAAATAAATTCACTCCAAGCCAAGAAAAAGGAACAAATGGGATTTTTCAATTATTGTAATACTTGCTCTTTAAATAAGATATGACAGTCTAGGAGCCTAAAAAGATTAAGTTTAAAAACAAAAGGCTTGAAGGAATTTTGAAGTGAGAGTTTTGTAAATCTAGTTGTCAGAGAAGATATGATAAATGGTCTCAGTATCTGGTAATTTCTGGCTAAAACCGAGAAGGACCGCTGAGTGCCAACCCAGGGACGTTGCATTGTAGGCAGATTGGTCTCCTTGGATGGAGTGAGTTCAAAGCTGTTCAGGCATCAGTTGCTTATGATTTTTCTGAAAACAAAACCCAATTTCCACTCTTCCTTTTCCTCCCTTCTTATTCCAATGATCATTATTGCTGCTTAAGAGACAGTTTAATAGATGACCATCCAAGTTAGCGCAAGGGTTGGTTTTAGAATAGATGACAGGGAATCTTAACTGAGTAGTGTCTTATTTCACTGCACAGCACAGCTAATTCAGGGAATGACATAGAGGTGAGGAGAAATAATGCATTTGGGTGGAGAAACTTTTGACTTAGACTCTGCCCATTTTTATTCATATAACTTACACAAGTCACTTTACACACAAGCTCCACTGAAGAAAAAAAAAGTGAAGTGCTGGATTAAATGATTAAAACCCCCATCCAGCCCTATAAAACCACCATATAATGATCCCTACTTTAATTTCTTCTTTCATAAGAGGCTTACTACTATAACACATTAGCTATTTATATTGTAGGTCAGAGGGGCCCACAACAATGAATAATCAATTTGGATCTTTCTCATCCCCTTTGGGGAAAATTAAATTCAAGCCTCTCTCTTCATCTGAAGTTTTACAACAAGCTTGGAAGATGGCCATGTTCATCCACAGTTTGGTATTTGGGGATACAAACAAACCTCCTTTTATAAAACTGTCCTTTGCCTAAGGCACTGTCCTAATAGAAGTAGCCATTCAGCTCAGGGAAAAATGCTGCCAGAGCCATCACGAGGGGCCAGGATGAGCCTATGGCCTCCCTCAAGGTCTTGCATCATTCCTCTTGTGGCAACAGGGCCCACTCCGAATACCCTAAACACACAGTTTCCTCCAAACAGTCCTAATTGCCAACCCAGTATGGGAATTTGGGAGCATCTGGCAAATCAACTTGAACACTCTTATGAAACTGGTGCAAGACTTACACAGAAACAGCGACTGTCTGTAAATATTCCCTTT